GAGAGAGAGAGAGAGAGAGAGAGAGAGAGAGAGAGAGAGAGAGAGAAATGTAAAACTATAAGGAAATAAAAAATACTTACCAAATAAGTTAGTTTTCACAGTGATAGACAGATGTGTATTATTTCTCAGAATTTCCATGGCTTTTGACAACTGGATATTTTCAAAGTTTTGACCATTTACTTCCAGTATCTAAAATAGAAATTATAAAATTAATGTCAGTATCAGTACTGACTAAACAAAAAGTCATCCCTATCTCTAGATTTAGAAATGTCATACCTGGTCCCCACGTTTCAAGCCTGCTTCGGTGGCTTTGCTACCTGAATCAACACTGTCAACAAAGATTCCAAATCCCTTTTCAGAGCCACCCAGTAAGATAAAAGGCAGAGGAGCTTCTCGGGATGGTTTTGTTAAGGTCATCAATCTTCTCTTTGCTTTAGCTGCACAGGCAATATTTAACAGCCTAAGATGTCCACCCATTTTCTACAAGAGTTCAGGAAAAGCTGTGTCAATTAAAGTCAGGCAAAATAAAATCTGCTTAAAGCTGATCTTAGCAAAAATCACAAGCATTACCTCTCTTTCCAGATTATTTTCAAATTCTTCTAGAAATCGAGTCATTGCAGGATCTCCTTCAAAGTCATTGAAGTGATTATTCACCCACAATAATACTACCCGTGTAACCTGTAAGAGCAATTCATTTCAGTAAGTTTTCCTTTCTAGTGCTAAGCACTAATGATTACATTTCAAGGGTATCTAATTTTCAAAAAAAAAAAGGTAATTTTGTCTAAACATACTGATCAAGAAAATAGCAAAAATAAAACCTTAAGCAAGGATTGCATTTATGTAAGAAATAACGTTTTCAAAATACATGATATACTTTACAAATGTTGCTTTGCCCTGAGGGACTTTGAATATGTGGGGCTATTTAACTTATATCTTACTTTACTTTCAACACATTTAAATAAAGTTATAAGAAAAGCAAAGGCATAAGAAGAGAAAAAAGCAGGTTAATATAAAATTAAAAATGAAAAGGACAGATAAGGAAAATGAGTAGTTTAAGCTACTTTCAAAAGGACCTGAAAGGAAAATGGTACTAAAAGGAAGCAGATAAGACTAGAGTGGGCATTTATCAACCAATCTGTCCTTGACAGCTCTCAGGACTTGATGAAAAAGGTCTGCTTACATTACTATGACGGGGCCTTCAAGTAAAATGCTGCTCCAGTGCCAATTTAAAAATCCTAAATTTCACCTGGCACACACTGACTAGATATTAAACTAGAGATCATATAGTCCTTCAAGAGGTTTGCTTATGTTTTAATGTATTCCCTACAAGAATAAAAGTTTAAACAGTTGGTAGCTCATTTATCGGCCTTTGCATTTAAGCAAAAAAGTTATTTCTAGAACAGGAACTCATTTGAATCATCTTTCTTTCTTTTTTGCTTATAAAGAATGTCAATTTTTTCATTAATAGAAATATATATAACTGGAATTATGTTAAGAGACTAAATAGAATGTATTTCTAACCTTATCCCTGAGGCTCGGGTCATTAAACCACTCCAATAACTTTTTGCCCACTTCCATTGGGCTAGAAAGAAAAGTCCGGTAGGTCAATAAGAAGTCTTCTATGAATGTTGGGTCTACTACAGAATGTTCTTCCACCAAATGCATGGTTAGCCTTTCTGAAGTGCCCTGTAACAAAGCAAAAATTAGACCACTACCTTGAATATAAACCATATTTTTACGGTATGCTGACTTCAAACCCTCAACAAAAAACAAATGGAAATAGTATATAGAGAACAAAAAACTTATTCATCAGAAAATGTAAAGATTTTTTTTTAAACTGAAGGTTAAGGAGGTATGTATGGTTCCCCACAAAAAAAAAAAAAAAAGAAAAAGAAAAGAAAAAAAAAAGTAAGTGGGCTTAACTGATGCTATCCAAACTTTCTGTCCATGGGAAGGAGGGTTCCATCCTACCTTGATGACAATGTGGCCCTTCCGAGTTCCAGTCCGATCAAGTTCTCGGTGTTCTTTAACCATGACTATCTCTCCTTCCTCTTCAACTTTTTGCATGTTCTTTTCTACTTGGTTGAGAATACGGCAGTAATCTTGCTGGGCGATACAGACAAACTAGAATAAAACATTAAGTCACATGTTAATGATAAAGTGCTAGCAAAAGATCTCACTGTAGGATTGATTCAGGGTTTTAATTATTTAATACTGACATTTTTTCTCTATCTTCCTCATACTTTGTAAATTAATGCAGTAATGAACCTTGATCAGACTTCTCCACTTTTAATGTATCTCTTCTTCTGGTCAAGAAAAGTTTCATTTAAAAAAAAAAAAAAGAAAAGTTTCATTTTTAGAACATTATTGCGGGAGATATGTTCCAAAGACCCCTGCAATAGGTGAAAATCTGCTTAGTAAGCAGCTTTATGTAGTTGTCCCTCTCTATATGGTGGTTCACTTATTGCTACTTGGTGGATTTTCACCTATCACGGTGTCTCTGGAACTTAGCTCCTATGACAGATGAGGGATCACTATTTACATAGTTTAAAAAAACCCATGATACAGTGAAGCTGCAATAAGTGAACTGCGATATAGCACAGGACAACTGTGTATGTATTTTACATCCAAAATCCTAGCAAAAGTCAGAGGACAAAAATTACAGTTTTGAAGATGTTAAAAACAATTAAAATAGGGCCTGGGAAGGTGGCTCAGTGGTAGAGTGCTTGCCTTGCATGCATGAGGCCCTGGGTTCGATTCCTCAGCACCACATAAGCAAAAAGAAAAAAGCTGGAAGT